TTTCACTTAATAGTTTGAATATTTGATTCCACTCCTTTCTGGCTTATAAGGATTTTGCTGAGAAGTCCTATGATAATCTAATGGGTTTTCCTTTATACGTTACCATCTTCTTTTCTCAGGCTGCCCTGAGAATTCTGTCTTTGTCATTGATTTTTGATAATTTTAATACAATGTGTCTTGGTGAAGGCCTTTTTGGGGGTGTTCTGTTGAGTTCTTGAATTGCAAACACCAGCTCATTCCTTAGATTTGGGAAATTCTTGTCAATTATTTGTCTGAAAATGCTTTCTAGTCCCTGTTCCTCTTCTTTGCCTTCGATAATGCCCATTACTCTTATGCTTCCTCTCCTGATGGTATCTGCTAGTTCTTGAATTTCTCTTTAATTATTTTTCATTATTTGCTTTCTCTCTTCTTCCTTCTGATTTATTTCCAGATTTCTGTCTTCCTTATCACTGATCCTTTCCTCCATTTGGTCATCTCTATTTCCTAAGCTTGTTATTTCATTTTTCAACTCTTGCAGTGTTTTCTTTATCTCCAGAAGGTCTATTTAGTTCTTTTTGAGTGTTTCAATCTCCTTGCTAAAGAACTCATTCTTCTGCTCTAGTTTTTTTCAGTTCCTGAAATTTTTGATATGTTTCATTTCAGTTCCTGAAATTTTTGATATGTTTCATTCAGATCTCATTTAGTTTTTTCAGAAGTGCCATCCTGAATTCTATGTCACTTAAGTTGCATATTTCTATGTCTGTAAGCTCATTTTCTGGAAATTTTTCTTTCTGAGATGCCTTGTCACCTTGGTTGTTCATGGTGTTTAATGGACTATTTCTCCATCTGGGCATTAATGAAATTGTATTCTGATTCTTTTTTTTCCCAGAAACAACATTTATTATATAATGGTCCCTAGCCTGTTGTAAAGAAAATGTTTTTCTTTTGATTTCCATTAGGTGCCATCTAAGCTTCTTAGATCCCTGCTTCATGTAAAGCCTTAATAATGCCATTTTTTCCCTTGTAGACGTTTAATTATGCTCTCTACCCTCAATTTCAGTCCCTGTCGGTGTTTGCGATAGTTTTGCAACCACAGCTAGTAATAATCAATTGTTGTTTCTCTTCCATCCTTACTTTTCTGCTTTCTGCTCCACTGCTGCTGGCTGCGTGAAGCTCACAGCACTCCCAGTCAGAGCTGTTCAGGGAAGTTGCTGCACCTTCTTCCCTCCCCCTCCTCCTACAGGGAGCTCCTGCGCTGCGAGAGGCATCTTCTTTGTTTCTCCCAGTCTACTGCCTGACACACAGGTTTCTGACCTGTGGTAGCTCTTATGCACAGATCCCACGCTCATACATGTTGGTGTGCAGTTTGGGTGTTTTTCGTTGAGTTTTAGATGTTCAGCTTATTGTTGTTGCAAGGGGAGAGATCCAGGGATGTCTCTCACTCCACCATGTGTTTGATGTTACTGAATGGGCCATAGTTTAATGTTTCTTTGTATGCCTTTTGATTTTTTGTTGAAAACTAAACATTTGAATCTAATGATATAGTAATTCTGGGAATTAGATTCTTCCCCTTCCCCAGGGTTTGCTATTGTTGTTGTTGTTGTTGTTGTTGTTGTTGTTATTATTATTATTATTGCTTTGCTTGTTTTACTCTTTTTAATTGTTATAGGCTGTCTCTGTGCTAAAAATCAGCCTGAGATCTTAAGGTCTTAAGAGCTTCTTACAGCATGGGTAGTTACTTCCTAAATTCTTGTGTGTACAGTTGCTTTTGAATGTCCTAGGTCTTAAATGTCTGGCTCCCAAAAGAGGAAGTAGAGAAAAATAAAGGTGGGGGAAAAGGCATCAGTCTTTAAATCTCCTAGAGGTTGCTTCAGCTAGAGGTGGAAGGACTTTCACAGCAATGGTGGCCTGACTCTGTGCTTGAAACTCTGAGATCAGAAGCTGCATCAATAGAGCACTGATCCCCAATATTTGGGGGATGGGGTCTTACTGCTCACCCTTGCTCCTGCAAGGTGCATGTAAGCTGCTCCTAAAATGCATGCATAGCTTCCTGACATGGGAGTGGGGGTAGTGGGGGGTTGGTAGAGGCTACAGTGCTAAAAGTTGAAATAGACTGAAAGTAACTTTGAATAGACTACTGAGCTCTTAAATAGTTATATCAAACAGATTCTGCTAGTACAATTGCTGTCTAGGTGGGAAGAAGAATTCCTGATATTTTTCACTTTGCCATCTTCTCAGAATTCTCTCTGATTCAATTTTTATTTGTTTTTTTTTTTTGGGGGGGGGTCTCTATTATAAACCAGGCATCTCCCTGTGCACTGGAAAATAGAGTGATGAGCAAGACAGACAAGAATCTCTGCTCTCATGAAGCTTCTATATTCTGGTAGGGGAGTCAGACAACAGAAAAACAAAATAAAATATAATATTATTTTATATAATAAGTGCTATGAGAAATATTTGATTATCTGTAGTAGACACTGTGTTTGCCCCATTCATATCTCATCAGAGTTTAATGTTTTCATGCAAGCTGGAATGATTTCTAGCTTACAGTACCTGCAACTGCTTGTCTGAGGGCTCTTTCTGTCTCCTGGAGCCTCTTCTGCCTGGGTGCAGGGCAGATTGGGAGCACTAGAGAATTAAGGCTTCACAAGAGAGCACCCCTTATCCAATAGCTGATGTGAGTTGTGGATAAGAATCTAGCCTCCAAGCCTGTCACTCAAGTGGGTAACTGAGGCATGTTCTACACTGCTTCCAAAGCTCCTTAGTGTATTGAACTTCAATTGTCCATAGTGGTAATTTGTTTCACCACATTTTTTATGGGCTCTTTTCTGTCTTTTCTGTCTTTTCTTCCCCACTGGTATTTCCTCGGTCACCTACCAAATAAATTGCTTACACTTGAATCCTTGTCTCAGGTTCCATTTACAGGGGAATCCAAACTAAGATTTTTTCAAAAGTGGAGTGGGGGATAGGTGGGAGAGAATGGCTGGAAGCCTGTAGATAGGTGTCCATTTGCCATCACCTGGTCAGGTGCATACCCATTGGTTGGTTATTGAGAAAGGTCCTGCAGGTTTGAAAGCCATTCTGAGATTTTGCTTATGCTTTTACAGATAATGGTCCCTTGGTCATCATTCAGGGCAAGAAGGGGCCACAATGTCTGAGCTATAGCAACTTCCTGTAGTGATCAGAGTGTAAAAATTTTTTACCAAAACAGACCCAGATTAGCCATTAAACTGCTCCCCCACACCTTGCTTGGTATCCTTTCATCCTGGACTCATGGCCTTATTCTTCTTTCCTCAGCTCTTTTCCTTCTAGCAAGTATAGGCACTTTGTTTTAAATTATTTTTTGGTTTTTAAATTTTCTTTCTGATTATAAAAGTCATTCTTTTTTTTTGTATAAAAGTTTTTAAACACAAAAGATATATAGAATAGAATTAAAATAATCCTGTGGCAGATTAAAATTGACCAAAAATTCTTTGACATATCTCCTATTGAGATGTGAGAATCTATGTCCCCTTTTCTTGACTGTGGATGAGCTCTGTGACAGCTTGAACAATAGAATATAGTGAAAGTGACTTTGTTTCCAGATCAAAGCCTTAAAAGACTGGAAACTTTCAATTCTTGTTTCTTGGAATACTTGCTCTTAAAATCTAACCACTATGCTGTGGGAATTCCAATGCACATAGAGAGGTTACACATACGACTCCAGTTGACAGCTCCAGCTGAACTCCTTGCCTGTAGCCAGCATCACCTCAGCCACTGAGTGATCCATTTTGAAAGTCCAGCCCAAATGAGCCTTGGATGACATGATCTGATTGTAACCATGTGAGATCCCTTAGTGAGAATTGCTGAGGTCAGACAATTCTCAAGACCATGAGATAATAAGTTGCTATTTTAAGTAGCTAAGATTTGGAGTGGTTTGCTATGTAGCAATAGATGACAGAACACGCCCATAATCCTACCATCCAGAAATAACCACTATTAACATTTTGTTTTTCACACACGCATATTTTAAAAAGGTAATTTTAAAACAAATGTAGAGAATTTTTATGAATTTTTTTCAGAGAGCAAACATTTATTTGCTCTGGTTATTAAGAAAGTAGAACTAGGGTGAGAGAAAACACGTTAGAAGATAGAGTGAAAAAATCATTGGCTTGGGGATCATCTTAGCAGTCACAAAAGATACAGTTAAGTATTCTATATATTTCATGAAGGTATGCTCCTGTGTCTTTGAAACAGATTTAGAAGTGACTAGATGAAATGTAAGGACATATTACAGAGTGAGACATCATTCAACCATTCTTCTATTGTTGGATATTTAGGCCGTTCTAGTTTTTCACTATTAAATAAATTGCTGCAATGCACAAGCTTATACATCCATCTTTGATTGTACTTCTCAGCTAATTCTTAGGATAGATTGTTGGAAGTGAAAATTCCTGGGCAATTTCCAAGGGTTTGAGGCTTTAAAAAAAATATCTTTGGTTTCTCTGTATTGTCTTCTAACATTTCTGTTAGACTCTTTAAAAGGCACAGTCCTATGTCTCTCCCCACCTGATACTGCAAGAGTCCCCAGCTGACCTATGAAAAGCACTCCTGCCACAGGTCCACCAACGTGGGAACTTACTCAAATACAGTTTGGAAACTACTGGTTCTGGCTTGTTTTCCTTTCTGCTCCACAATCTGCCCCCTTACACAGCAGGCACCCAGACACTCTCCACTACAGTGCTTTCCATGGTGGAGAAGGCAGAGAAAATGTCAAGTCCTTTATTGGTGAGAGATCCATAGCAACTGCCACTGGGCCAGATGGACATGGGTGGTGGGATCTTCTGGTGCATCCAATCTGGCAGTGTACAACACGATCCTTGCTTCATTCTTGGCTGATAAATGTGTATCATCTAGCGTCTGATTTCTTGGCTGGCTGAATGAGGAGGCAGACATACCCTATTGTGTCCTGGTGCACACTGATCCTCTCTCTGGTGAAAGGAATGGTTTCATTGTCCTTTCAATAGAACATAGGTGGTGACATGCCTATCACATGGCACTACAGCCTCATTGGGTCACCTTTGGGAACTCTGCTGTTCTGCAGTTTTTCCAAGATCACAGGCACTTTCTTCATCTCTTTGGCTGCTACAGTGAGCTCCAGACTAAAGCAATTCTGTATGATTTTTTTTGGTAGCAATGCACATGTAGGTCCCCATATCACGTTGAGTGAGCAAGTCAACAAGCAGAGAGTGAACTCTGATCTCTCTGACTAGCATCTTGTGGGAGGCGTCTGGTAGCATAGGTTCAAAAAGCACTAGGTTTCTCTGTACCTGAGTTATCTTTATTGATGGTTACAAAGGAGGACAATTCTGGCTGAAGGGTATTCCTGTTTCCTTGGGCAGGAGGAAGGATATTTTGCAAAGTGTGTTTTTAGGGAGACATAGGGTGACTTCCTACATTTCTTGGTCTATATTGCTTAGAATACATGTTCCAGGAAGAAGTCTCTAAGCCTATTCAGCTTGCTTTTCATAATGCTTAGGCCAGCCATAGAAGCAAGTGGCAAACAAACAACACCTTTGAAATAGTAACTCTGATGGTTGGGGCTAGGAAGCTGGGTAGGGAGGGAACACAGGCTGTGGGCAGCCCCAGGAGGAAGGTCAAGCAGGGCTGTGTCTTCACTGAGCCCCTGCCCTCTTTCTTTGAGTCTCTAATAGACTTCTGCTTCCAACTTCTCTTTTTTCTGTCTTTCCTGGCTTTGGTGGCCTTCTTGAAGTAGCTCGGTGGTACATGAAGCCTCTGGGTTCCTGCTCTCTCCAGCCATGACTCACAGAGTCCTTCTGTTAACAGGTATACCAGGGGCTTGGGGTTGGGGGCCTTTAGGGTGAGAACTTTTAAGTCTGTGAGTAGAAAGAAGGAGTACAGAATATATAGGAGTTAGACTGAGGAGAGGCAAAGGGGATTTGAGGAAAGATTCATAAAGAAGCAGAGAACAGAGCTAGACCAAGATGGGATGACCAGAGAAGCTCAGATGACTGACTAAATTCATAGACTATGCAAGGAGGTTTGGCTTGCCCCTTAACTTTACAGATAAGGAAACTGAGGCCTAAGGAGGCTCAGTGACATGCCAAAAGATGCACAGCAGGTAATGGATTCTCTTCTCAGAGTGTTACTTCTTGGATTCCACTGCACCACCTCCACTTTGCCTCTAGTTCTATTTTCCAGGTGTAAATGTTTGTTGAATGATTGACTGATCAAAATGATTTGCTTGTTTCCTTTTATGCCTATGTTTTTGGCCAATGAGCCAAAAAAGGGAAAGAAATGCTTGAGAGTTGCATAGAAAGGAAATTGTCTAACTAAGTGTTTGTTGGGCAATAACTTGGTTGTTGGGCAAATCATCAGGATGGGAACATAGAGTGAAGCTTAGAGAAGGACTGGAAGCACTTCATGTTGGTGATTCTTAGGTTAGGGGTCAGCAAACTATGGCCTGCAGGCATAAGGCAGGGATTCTACCATCTGTTTTCGTACAACCTGAGAGCCATAGGTCGCAGATGAACATTTGTAATCTATTCATGATAGGGAACACTAATCTTGAATTCCAATGAAGTGAAATGTTATTTCCCTCAAAAAATTCCATTGGTCTCATTAGCAAATTTGTATTACAAAAAAGTGTACTCAACTATTATATTTTTAATTTTCTTAATAAAAAATTTGTGGAAATGCATTTTCTCTCATTATATAAATATCTTCATAATATACTCTACTTGCTTCTTGGCCCACAAAGCCTAAAATATTTACTATCTGGCCTTTTATAGAAAAAGCATATTGACCTCTGCCCCAGGTTATCAGAGCTAGATTTGGGAGGCAGACATCTCCGTGCTGTCTCCATGGGTTAGGATGAATAACAACTGGAAGATGCACGGAGCAGGAGGATGAGCTACTTTCTTAATTATGTCCTTATCTATGCCTGATCATTATTTCTTTCTTTTCCCTCCAGCCTTGGCTTTATGTCATGGGTTCAACCTTGACACTGAAAATGCAGTGATCTTTCAAGAGAACGTAAGGAGCTTTGGACAGAGCGTGGTCCAGCTTGAGGGATCCCGGTAAGGGCCGCAGGTGGAGCTCCCTGTCTCACATGCTTTCCCTTTAAGACTTACATACCTGAAAAAAAGTAATTTCCTTAATTTTTTGTTTTGTTTTGTTTTTATTGATTTATTTTTGAATAGGTAATGCAATTACAGGTTCTAATTTCAAATGATACAGAAGAGGGTAATAGTGAAAAATCCTCCATACTTCAGTTCCCATCCTAGGAGAGTTTCTTTTATGTTCTTTCAGAGAGAATCTATGCTGAATATACTTCTACATTTCTCTAACTCCCATCCCATGCACAATTGATAACACATGTTAAACTATGGCCTCCTGCCTATTTTTGTAAATATATTTTATTGATGCCCCCCCCCAATTCATCATTTATTGTTTATGGCTGCTTTGGAGCTACAATGGCAGAATCAAGAGGCTGTAACTGAGACTATATGGCCTGCAAAGCCTGAAATTTTTATCTTTACAGAAATAATATTTATGGAAATAATATTATCTTTCCAGATAAGTTTTTTGGCCTCTGCTCTATACCGTCCTTTGCATTTTTTTCTTAATAGAGTTTGGTAATTTTACCAGGTAAGTGCATGAAGAGCTTATTTTTTTTTTATGCTTGCATCATATTCTATTATTTGGAGATACTGTAGTTTACATTTGTATTACATTTAAATCTTTTTAATGATCATTAGATTATTTCCACACTTTTTCTATACAAACAGTGCTGTCATTTTGCACATGTGCAAGTATATTTGGAAGTAAATTCCTAGAACTAGAATTGTTGGATCCAAGGGTACATATGTGTGTGTAATTTTAATAGATATTTCCAGATTACCCTTTATAGAGGTGGCAACAATTTACACTCAAACCAGAAATCTATGGAAACACCTACTTTGCTGCCTATTTACCAATCCAATGTTATCAAACATCAATCTTTGCAAGTTGAATAAGTGAGAAATGGTATCTCAATTTAGTTTTAAATTACATTTCTTTTTCAATGAGAGATTATTTCCTTTTCTTTGAACACTTTTTCTTATCTGCTACTTGTTTGTCTATTGGGTGTTTCTTCTTCTTCTTCTTCTTCTTCTTCTTCTTCTTCTTCTTCTTCTTCTTCTTCTTCTTCTTCTTCTTCTTCTTCTTCTTCTTCTTCTCCTCCTCCTCCTCCTCCTTTCTTTTTTCCTAAAAAACTAATTGATTTGTGGGAGCCGTGACTATATTGAGGAAAGTATGCTGGGGTATGAATTGTTAATCTCTCTCCTACCAGTTGATCATTTGTCTTTTAACTTGCTTATGGTAGTTTATCACAGACAAATTTATTTAAAATGACTGTGTGGTTGAATTTAACTATTTTTAAATCACCTCCGTTTTTGTGTCATTCTTACTCTTTTGTGTCCTTCACACTCTAAGATTTAAATATTCTCCCCCGCTTTTTTTTGTTGAGTCTTCCTCCTGTTTCTAGGAATTGGAGGATATGTGTGAAGATCGACTCCCTCACTTTCCTTTGGGTGGCAGAACTTCTTCCATGATCTCCATGTGTCGATTTTCTCTTATTCCTGTAATGATCTGTTCCCCTCTCTCCCCTAGGGTGGTGGTTGGAGCCCCCCAGGAGATAAAGGCTCCCAACCAAACAGGTGGCCTCTACCAGTGTGACTACAGCATGGCCACCTGTGAGCCCATCCACCTGCAGGGTGAGTTGAGTCACTGCCCCTCCCAAACCCAGGGCTAGGGTTCTACCTGTGCATACACCTGAATTTGCCAGGCATTCCTTTTGTTCTGGGGGCTTGTGGTAGGGAATTCAGGGGTCCAGCTCCCAAGCATCTTTATTGTAGGCAGACTCTACCCCAGAAACTCTCAGGGATCCCCTTCATGTTCTTCTCCCATAACCTGGGTGCCCCCTTGACCTGTCAGACCTTTATGTCTCCCAGGCTGAGGTGACTTTTGCCCAGCTTTTCACGAGCCCTTTCATCTCCCTGAGTATAACCATGCACATATCTGTCCTTTCAGTCCCCCCCGAGGCTGTCAACATGTCTCTGGGTCTGTCTTTGGCATTTGCCACCAACCCTTTCCGGCTGCTGGTGAGTTGCCTCTGGGTCATGGGAGTGTACTAAGGGGAGGAATGGGGACGTGAGGGTGCTGGGGCTGGGGTTTTGTGGAGGATGGAGATGCTGGGGTGAAAGGACAGGAAGCAGGGTTAGCCCTTCCTATCTATAACCTGTCCCGAAGGCCTGCGGCCCCACCCTACACCAAATTTGCAAGGAGAACACCTATGTGAATGGCTTCTGCTTCCTGTTTGGACCCAATCTACTGCAGCAGCCCCAGAGGCTACCAAAGACCCTCAGAGGTAGGCTGTGTTTGGGAGAGAGTACAGAGAGGCAGCCGGAGACCAGATGGTTAGGGGCGGGGCTGGGTTGGGGGCGGGGCTGGGTTGGGGGCTAATCATGGTTTGGGGGCGTGACTTAGAGGTATAGGTGCAGATGAGTGAGGGAACTGGGTTCCAAGAGAGAGAGAGAGAGAGAGAGAGAGAGAGACCGAGAGAGACCGAGAGAGACCGAGAGAGACCGAGAGAGACCGAGAGAGACAGAGACAGAGACAGAGAGACTGAGGGGTAGGTTCTAGGGTCTTGCATTAAAAAAAGAAGTCCCGATATAGCTGCTCATCTTCCTGAGATGATGTTCCAAGCATTGTCCTTAGAGTAAGTGCCTGAATCTCCTGATCGTAGCCTTTGAGCCTTTAGATGGTAAGGCCTCTGTTTACCTCTCCAACTTTTCTTCCATCTCTTCTATTTCTGTCACTGAGCTCCAACCACTCTGGCTGCCTTTTTTCTTCAAACTGTACTTGCCTCAGGGACTTTGCACTTACTATTCTTTCAGTCTGGCAGGCTCTTTCCCCAGGTCTCAGCTGACAATCCATTATTATCATCTCAGCTCAAATATCATCTTTTCTAAGAGGGCTTCCCTGAGTGGCTGACTTCTAATTCCCACCATCACTCCTTGTCACATTGTCATACCTTACTATCTTCTTATCTGTATATCCATATATTTATTTGTTCCTTATCTATCCTTTCTTCTGGAATATAGGCTCCCTGATAGCAAGGATATTGCCTAGCTTGTTCACTGTTTTATGCTTTTGTATCTATGGCTGCCCCTGAACTTAGCAGCTAAAAACAACATTAATTATCTTGCAGTTACTATGAATAAAGAATCTGGACATGGCTTTGCTGGGTGCCTCTGCCTAAGGGTTTCTCATGAGATAGAAATTAAGTTGTCAAACCAGAGCTGTGGTTTCATCTGAGGGCTTAACTGGGAGAAAATCCACCTCCAAGCTCACTTACAAAGTTGTTGGATTGAGGTCCTCAGTCTAACAACTGGCTGTTGGCTGGAGGCTTCCTTCAGTTACTTGTCACATGGGTCTCCCCATAGAGCAGCTCATAACATAGCAACTGGCTTTCCTCAGGGTGAATGAACAAAGTGAGTGAGAGAAGAGAGAACAGGAACCCAAGACAGAAGCCACAGCCTTTTTACAATCTATTCTCAGAAGTAACAGCTCATTACTTCTGTCACTCCTTTGAAATGAGTCAAAAAGTCCAGCTCAAACTCAAGAGGTGGGAACTATGCAAGGGCATTATTACTAGGAGTTGAGAATCTTGGAGACTGTCTCGTCTGGGTGGTTGCCTACCACATCCCTCTTCTCCAAACATTTGTTGATTGAAGGAGAGTGAGTGAGTGAATGGATCTTTTTTTTCAAGTTGCTTTCTGTCACTGATTTATTTAACTACTTGGCCATCTTTTTGCTTGTCTCCAAGTTGGTTCTGGAACCAAGGGCAGATATGTCTTTCTTTCATAGTTAAAAAAATATATATATTCTATTAAAAATAATTTTTAATTTTTTGATTACAGTTGACATACAATGTTGTGTTAGTTTTAAGTGTACAAACATAGTGATTAGGCATTTATATAACTTATGAAGTGATCTCTCTGATAAATTTAGTATTCATCTGACACCATACATAGTTATTAAAGTATTATTGACTATATTCCTTATGCTATACTTTACATTCCCATGACTATTTTGAAACTACCAATTTGTATTTTTTAATCTCTTCCCCTTTTTCACCCATCGAACACCAACCCTCATCCTATCTGGCAATCCTCAGAGTGTTCTATATATCTATGAGTTTGTTTCTGTTTTGTTTGTTCATTTGTTTTGTTGTTTAGATTCCACATATAAATGAAATAATATGACATCTGTCTTTCTTTGTCTGACATTCTATTCAGCACAATATCTTCTATGTCCATTATGAAATATCTTTTCCATCCTTATATTTTCAGTCTGCGTGTGTCTTTTAATCTGAAGTGAGTCTCTTGTGGGCAGCCTTTGTAAGGCTACACTATCTTTTGATTGGAGCATTTAATTCTTTTTCATTTGAAGTACTTGTTGATACATATGTAGTTATTACCATTCTTTATTTATAATATATATATCTCCCTCTGGTGCCACCTGTTAAGATTCAGCAAGCAATCCACAGATTGCTGAAACCACGCCATAAACTGAGGTCAGCTGCCACCAGTGTGGGTCTTGGAGCTTGCTCTGCAAGTTGCACAGGACTTGCGAAGGACACAACTGGATGTGGCTTGGGTAGGGCTGCGAGCTGGGAGAGGCAGAGTTTCGGGGAATCCTCTGGGTGGAGTGACTTCTGTTATCCAGTTTGATGACATCTCAGCTATGGCAGTGCCTGTGTCTGCACACTTAGAGGGGGTAAGCCTCAACAGAGGAACAATGGATTCTACCAGCACTTGTGTCCAGGAGAAAGCCTCACCTCTGGCCTTCACTCTGACAACTCAGCATTCCCCTGTAAGTCCCTAGTTTCCCTCTCTCCCAACAGCCGACGGGATGCTGGTGCTTTGAGTGAGTAAGTCTGTCACTGCAAAAGTCCAGTTGCAGACATGGCCCCTTTAAGAGGAAAGTCTGCAGCTGTGGTAGCCTCTGTCCCACTCAGCTACTCAGGACTGGGCAGCTTCATGTCCTTGTCTCATCTTACCTCCTCCTGTTAAAGGGCGATTTCTTATTTCTCTCCCTAGATGTAAGGCTTCTGTTCATCTGGACCCAAGGTGACTCTGGTTGGTGTTTGCTCTGTGTTTCCATCACAATTTTGATGTGGTTGTAAGAGCAGATGAATAAAACCTCTATAATCTATGCCATTTTGGCTGGTCTTCCTCCTCCTTTAGCTTTTTCTTATATGGGAAGCTCTTTATCTGCCTTTTGATTCTAAATGAAAGCTTTGCTGGATAGAGTAATCTTTGTTGTAGGTCCTGGGTTTTCATCACTTTGAATATTTTGTGCCAAGCCCATCTGGCCTGCAAAGTTTCTGTTGAGAAATCGGTTGAAAGTCTTATGAGAGCTCCCTGTAGGTAACTAATTCCTTTTCTCTTGCTGCTTTTAAGATTCTCTCTTTGTATTTAACCTTTGGAATTTTAATTACGATGTGTCTTGGTGTGGGCCTCTTTGGGTTCACCTTGTTCGGGACTCTCTGCGCTTCCTGGAGTTGTATGTCTATTTCCTTCACCAGGTGAGGGAAGTTTTTAGTCATTATTTCTTGCAATAGGTTTCAATTCCTTGCTCTCCTACTTTTCCTTCTGGCTATCCTTTGATGAGAATGTTGTTGCGCTTGACGCTGTCCCAGAGGCCCCTTAAGCTGTCATTTTTTTTGGATTCTTTTTTCTTGTTGCTATTCTGATTGTGTGTCCTCTGTTACCCCATCCTCTAAATCGCTGATTAGATTCTCTACTTCATCCAATCTGTCGATTCATTCTAATGCACTCTTCATTTCAGATATTATATTTTTCATTTCCAGCTGGTTCTCTTTTATGTTTTCTGTCTCCATTTTTATGTTTTCTATCTCTTTGTTAAAATTATCACTGAGTCCATCTACTCTTCCCCTAAGTCCTTGAGCATCCTTATAACCGGTGTTTTGAACTCTGCATCTGTTAGATTGCTCGTCTCCACTTTGTTTAGTTCTTTTTCTGGAGCTTTGTTCTGTTCTTTTATGTGGGACATGTTTCTTTTGTATTCCCATTTTGGCTGCCTCCCAGTATTTGTTTCTATGTATTAGATAGGGCTCATAAGTCTCCTGGTCTTAGTAGAGTGGCTTTATGTAGTAGGTGTCCTGTGGGGCCCAGTGGTACATTCTTCCTTGGTCACCTGAGTGAGGTGTGAGTTGTATGTGCCCTTCTGATGTAGTTGAGCCTTGGTTGCTGTTTGCACTTTGATTAACCCTTGGGCTGATTGGTTGTGAAGATTGACTGGTGAGGGGCTGATCCTATGGAACAGGATTCACTTTACCAGGGCTCTGGTGCCTGCCCAGTCTGCCCTTCATGTGTGTCCTCCTTAGATGCAGCCCTAGGTGGTGCTCTGGCTCTGTCACAGGTTGAAGTAGGGCACTGGGTGTGCCAGCTCAAGGGCTTCCTGGGAGGGGCCTAGCTGCAGGCCAAGTTTAGCTGCAGCCTGTGCACTTTCAGGGCCACCTGATAAGAGTCACCAAGCAATCTGCAGATGGCTTCCACCCATGCTGGGCTTATAGGTGCTTCGAGAGGCCAAGGCAGAAACTGAGGCCAGCTGCTGCTAGTGCCGGGCTTGGGGCTGCTTAGCAAGCGGTATGGGGCATGCCTGAGGCCAGATGCTGCTTCTTTGGGTTTGTGAGACTTCAAGAGGTTTTAGGAAAGTCAGCAGCATGAGCTGAGCCAGGGCATTTGCATGGAATACACCACTGGAAGCAGCTTTGATGGGCCCGCAAGTTGGAAGAGGCAGTCTCAGGGAATCTCCTAGGCAGAGTGACCTGTATTATCTAGCTTGACTGAGACTCAGGTATGATCGTTGCCTGCATGTACAAGCTGGGCGGGAGGAGGGCTCAACCAAGGAACAATGGATACTGTCAGCACTTCTGTCCAGGAGAAAGCCACCCTTCCAGCCCTCAGCCTAGACCAACAACTCAGTATCTATCCATATGTCCCTGGCACTCCTCGAGCAGCTTTCCTAGCACTGGAGCTCAGAACGAGTGAGTCTGTCAGTGTGTATGTGTGGGTGTGAGCACTTCAAGAGAAACGTCTGTGACCCCTGCAGCCCTTTGTCTCGCTCAGCCACAATCTCCACTGGTTTTTAACAGCCAGAGGTTGTGGAGACTTTTCTTTCGGGCACTGGAACTCTGGGCTGGGGAGCTCAGTGTAGGGCTGGGAACTTTCGCTCCTCAGGGGGTTGGGGTGGGGGGACTCTGCAGCCAAGATAACCCTCCCGATTCTCTACTGCATACACTGTTGTGGGACCGTCCGATTTGTGTCTCTGCCCCTCCTACTAGCCTGTTCTTATGTATGTCTCTGGTTGTAGAACTTCTATTCAGTTAGACCTCAGGCGACTCCCAGTTATGATTGCTCTGTAGTTTCGTTGTAATTTTGGTGTGGTTGCAAGAGAAAGCATACATAGCATCTAGCTTGTATGCCATCTTGGCCAGTCTCTTCATCATTATTTCTTTAAACAGGTTTTCAATTCCTTTCTCTCTCTCTTCTGGTATCCCTATGCTGAGAATGTTACACTTGATATTGTCCCAGAGTTCCCTTAAACTGTCCTAATTATTTTGGATTCTTTTTTCTTTCTGCTGCTCTGATTGGGTGTTTCTGCTACCTTATCTTTTTGATCACTGTTTCAATTCTCTGCTTCATCTAATCTATTGTTGATTTCTTCTCATGTATTCTTCATTTCAGTTATTGTATTATTCATTTCTGACTGGTTCTTTTTATGTTTTCTATCTCCATTTTTATATTTCCTATCTCTTTGTTAAAGTTCTCACTGAGATTGTTGAGCATACCTATAACCAGTGTTTTGAACTCTGCATTTGGTAGATTGCTTGTCTCCATTTTGTTTATTCTTTTTCTGGAGCTTTGTTCTGTTCTTTCACATGTTTTTTTTTTGTCTCTCCATTTTGGCTGCCTCTCTGGTGTTGTTTCTACTTATTAGATAGAGCTGCTATGTCTCCCAGTCTTGATAGAGTATCCTGTAGGGTCCAGTGGTGCAATCTCCTTGGTCACCTGAGTCAGGTGCTTCAGGTGTGTCCCTTGTGTGGGTTATATATGCCCTCCTGTTGTAGTTGAGACTTGGTTGCTGTTTGCATGTCAATGGGAGGTATTGACCCTCAAGCTGATTGTTGTGAGGACTGGCTGTGACTACAGTGGAGGAGCTGTTGTTGTACAAGGATTGACTCTATGGAGCAGTATTAGCTTTAGCGGGGCTCTGGTGCCTGTCCAGTCTATCCTTTGGGCATATTGTTTGTGGAGGTGGTTGGGTGGTGCTCTGGTGTGATCTGAAGAGGACCACTGGGTGTGTTAGTTCTGGGGCCTCTTGGGAGGTGCTTCAGTGCAGGCCAAAGTCAGCTGCTGCCTGTGCCCTGCCTGGGGCACTTAGTATGAGCTACAAAGTGATCTTCAGATGGTTGCCACTTGTGCTGGGCTTAGAGGTGCCTGGGAGAGGCTAAATTGTGAACTGAGGGTGGCCGCTGCTAGTGCTGGGCTTGGGGCTGCTTAGCAAAAGGTATGGTGCTTGCTGAGGCTAGATGCTGCTTGTTTTGGGTTTGTGAGCCTTTGAGAGATTTTAGGAAAATCTGCAGCAAGAGCCAAGACAGGCCATTTGTATTTATTGTTCTTTTTTCGCCAGCTCTACACCTTTGTACCTCATTCTTAACAGATAACTTTCCTTCCTTCCTCACAGAGAAAACCAAGCCTGCCAGGCATGATCTCCCTCTACTTCCCCCTTCTCCTTATCCAAATTTGCATGAAGGCACCACTCTTGGCACTATCTCACTGGTTTTAGAAGAGGACCTGTCTCTCTGCCTTTCCATGAGTGATTCCCCCATCTGGGCTTTGGAGGCTCATTCGCTTCAACTCTGGGGCCCATATCTTCAATCATTCATTCTCTCCAGGAGCTTAAAGTTCTCTTGCTGCTTTGAATGTAAATATGCTCATGCTATGCATGTCTTAAAAACAATCAGCCACTAAAATTGATACCTATGAAAATAACTTTCCCTCTTCCTGGTCTCCTCCCCATCTTCTGCCATCTCTCCTTCCCTTCACCATTAAACTTCTTGAAAGGGTTCTCTCCACTTGTTTCTATTTCTCTCATGTTGTGATTCTTTACCCTCTGACATCTGGCTTCTACTCACCCACTGTACAGACTTTGTTCTTGCAAATGGCATTTGTGCCCCCTAAATGACAAATCTCTTTTCTATCCTCATGTTCACTACTTTTCTGATGTGACCTGCAAATCATTACTTCCCTTCCCTTCCCTTCCCTTCCCTTCCCTTCCCTGTTCCTTTTTCTTCCTTTCCCTCCCCTCCTTTTTCTTGCTTCTCCCACTGTAGAGGGCTTCTGCTAAGCATCATCCCCAGGCCATCTTCCTCTGCCATCCCTGACTGTCTGGGGAATGGGGTTATAGCTTCTATTCTTTCCTATGTGTTCTTGCCTTATTGCATCAGATTCTGTGGCTTCAGCTCTCACTCCTACATTTCTCTCTTCAGTCTTCACTCTCAGGAGTTCAAGGTTCTTCTTTTAAAACACATTTTCTTTTTTTAAAAAATTAGATAATACATGCACTTGGTTCAAATTTCAAAAGGCACTAAGGCTATACTGTAAAAATTTCTTCCTCTTGGGTCCCCCAGCCTCCTGTTTCCTTCTTGGGAGGCAGCCACTGTTACCAGTTTCTTATGTCTTCCGGAGATACTCCATGTATTACAAATACATATATACCCATATTCTTCACTTTGTGCCACAATGGTAGCATGCTATACACACTGATTCTTTTTACATATCTTTGAGATGAAAATTTTTTTCTGGCTAATTTTTGTATATTTTTCATATAAGCCTTAGAATCTGCCTGTCTGTTTTAATTTATTTTATTTTATTTTTTTTTTAGGCGAGGCAGCCCTTGGTTGACCTCACAGATTGCAAAGACCTTGTCAGCTTACAATCCCTTATTTTTTTTATTTTTTATGCCTACATCATTTAGTCTTCCTAGGTAGTCTCCCATCCAAGTACTAACCAGGACTGACTCTGCTTAGCTTCTGAGATCAGATGGGATTGGGCTTGTGCAGGGTAGCATGGCCATAGACTGCCTGTCTGTTTTAAAAAAGCCAATACTTTTTTTGGTAATTTTATTTTTTTTGATGTCATACAATGAAATTGATCTTTTTATTTCTTTAAAAAAATTATTTTCCAATTGCAGATGACATACAATGTTATAGTAATTTCAGGTGTACAACATAATGATTAGAAATTTATATATCTTATGAATTGATCATTCCTATAAGTCTATGACCCATTTGACACCATACAGTTATTATAATATTATTGACTATATTCCCTATGTTGTACTTTACATCCCCATGACTATTTTTTAGTGTACAGTTACATGAATTTTAAAATATGTATAGCTTTATGTAAATAACAGCATGAACGGGATACAGAAGAATTCTATTACCCCCCTAAAAAATCCTTTGTACTATCCTTTTACAGTCTGTTGCTTCCTCCCCTAGCACCTCACACTCACTATATAGTTCTCCATCACTATATAGTTTGTCTTTTCAAGAATGCTACATAAATAGAATTGTAACCTTTTGAGTTTGGCTTCTTTCACTAGCATAACACATTTGTGATTCATTCACATCATTGTGAGTATCAGCAGATCTTTCCTTTTTTATTGCTGAGTAATATTTCATTGGATTTACTACAGTCCCATTCACCATTTCATCCATTCACCCACTGAAGAATGTTTGGGTTATTTTTAATGTTTTATAATTATGAATAAAGCTGCTAGAAACTCTTCACTGCTATGGCAATCTTTCTAAAATACATAAAGATCATCTCACTTCCTTTTCTAAAAACCTTCAGTGGCTCGTCAGTGCCTAAGGGACAAAGTTAAACTTCTTTTTGGGATAGAGAGACTTTTTCCAACTATTCTCTGCTTAATGTCATAGCCTTGTCTCCATCTCCATCATATAGATTTACCCTGGAAGTACCATTTCCATTCCTGGATTCTGCCAGAATTCTTTTAGGCCCATCCTCTTTGTATCGGAGTCTCTACTGGAACAGATGGCACATTCCAGTAAAGACAATTTGAGGAGGGTTTATTTACAAAGGGGCTAATTATAAAGTTGTGGTAGGATCTAGAGGAACTAAAAGGGACAGTCCAGGAACCCAGAGAAAGCAGCACCAGAACTGTTACTACCCCTAAGCTGATGGGATAAGGAAAGGGAAGAGTCACCAGGCTGTAGAAGAGAGAGTCATGTGGAGTGGGCCTCCTTGAAAGGAGTAGTTATCGTCTATTGCAGACACAGCTGTCCCAAAGCACACTTGCAAGGAAGGAGCTGAGAAGAGAATACTCTGATTTCACTTTACTCCATCTCTCCAGTTTTTTTGCTGAGATTCCTAATTGGGAAAATCTAACTAGAAGCCAGAGAGTAAAAAAGCCCTGTTGATGTGGACCATGGGGGCCAACTTCCCAGGCTGAATGGAAGAGGGTAGAAAGTGTATTTGGGACAGGAGGCAGAAGGGAGGAGAACATCCAGCATATTTCTATACGTGCTATTCTTTTTTTCTTGTAATTTATTTCTCCTTTTGTATTTCTGGAAAATTATTTCTCATTCTTCATGGGGTAGCTCTAGCAGCTTTATTCATAATATCACTACTTTCTCTAATTTGTTTGGGCAGAATTAACCCAAAATTTTAATGCCAATTTGTCCAGGTTTTATTTAATTTGGAAGATTGGATTGAATTTTGTTTACCTTTTATTCTAATTGTTCAGCAGAGAGGTGACATGCAAAACATAAACCTGAAGGCTCTAGTACTTAATCAATTCATGCTCTTTTCCCTTTTCCTCAGAGTGCCCTCAACAGGATAGTGACATTGCTTTCTTGATTGATGGCTCTGGTAGCATCATCTCAAGTGACTTTCAGCGGATGAAGGAGTTTGTCTCGACTATGATGAACCAATTCACAAAGTCTAAAACCTTGGTGAGGGTCAATGGGTAGGTTAGGAAATAGCTCATATAAGGCTGGCAAAGACATGGAAACCAGACTGTCAATTTCCCCTCCTACTCCAATTGTAGACTTTGACAAATTGCCAATCAATCATGGTTTTCTTTTGAGATTCTCTTTCTTGCTCTGTCTGGATTAAGACTCAGTATTCTCCCAGCTCTCTATAAATTGGGCATCTCTGACTAATTGATAGGGATTAGCATGGGAGATGAAACTCACATGTCATCTGAGTTTTAATACTGAGAAGTGGGGGCTGGCAGTATATCTCTTTTCTGATGAGGCAGAAGGAGGGAGCGCAGTGTAGAATTTGGAGGAATTTGAAGACTGGAGTGTTTTAAAATTTATGTAGAGCTTTCTGGGAGATGGCTAAGGGGGAGGAGGGGGGCACTTTCTCCATTGTAATTCTAGGCGCTCGTTCCCAGTTCTCTTTGATGCAGTACTCTGAAGACTTCCAGATTCATTTCACCTTCAAAGATTTCAAGGATAAACCTAACCCGAGACTGCTGGTGAGGCCAATAAAGCAGCTGTATGGGGAGACACACACTGCCACAGGAATCCTGAAAGTAATGTAAGCTCTTCCCTCTTTGCTTAGGATTAAAGAAGGAGGTGATATTCTTAGCTGGGTTTTAAAGGATGGGGTAGTCATTCAAACAAGGATAGAATGAAGGATATTTCTGGTTGAAGGAACAGCATGAGTAAAGGTGTGGAGGAGGAACTGTTCATGGTGTGTTCATGACAAAAGTTGTGAGTAAAGGTGGGAGTAGAGGGGAGAAGTGAGAGGAAGGTTAGAGGGATGCTAGAAAGATCAGTTGAGGCCAGGTCACTAAAGGCAACACAAAAACCGTTGGAGATCCAATGAAAGTTTTAAGCAGTGGGGAGATGTCACCCTATCTTGTTTTGGAAAGTTCACTCTGACGTGTGTGTGTGTGTGTGTGTGTGTGTGTGTGTGTGTGTGTGTGTGTGTGTGTGTGTATGTATGTAGAGGCGAGGGTGGGGTCGGGACAAATGTACAGAAAGATGAGCTAGAGAGCTGGTGTGTCAAACCAAGAGAGCTTTGATGAGGACCAAATTAAGCTTATTTAAAGAAAAACCATTTTTTTAATTTAAAAGGAATAATGCTTAGTTAAAAAATCAACCTATGTAAAAGTATATAAAGGCAGCAAAGACTTCTTTTCTTTCTGCTCTTCTCCCCTCTTCTCCTGCCTTTTCAGGTCCTTAGGGAGCCAAATCTCATTGTACATCCCAGGGGAGGCCAAGCCTTTCTTAGACAAAGCCCAGCTGCATCTGCATTTGTGACTGCTGACATTCCCTCCCTAGCATTCATTAAGAGTATGTCTGTCTGCTTGCATTTGACTTTTCCCTCATCTTCCCTGGACAGAAGAGAAGTGTTTAACAGCAGAAACGGAGCCCGGGAGAATGCCCGAAAGATCCTAGTTGTCATCACAGATGGAGTAAAGTATGGTGATCCCTTAGAGTACAAGGATGTCATCCCTGAGGCAGACAGAGAGGGTGTCATTCGCTACGTCATTGGGGTAGGAAATGTGGCTCTCTCGCTTAATGCTTCTGTGGAGTGTTTTTGCTTGGCTATACCCTTCCTTCTATTAGCAGATATCAATGAAATCAAAATGATGTAACTGTCATTGCTAGCCCATATGTGCATGTATCAGTTAACTATTGTCAAAATAATGCTGGGTAACAAACTAACCCAAAATGTAGTGGTTAAAAAAATAATTGACAATTTATGTATGGCAATTTTTCTGTTTTTACTATGCTCATTCATGCATCTGCAATCAGTGGCAGGTTGGTTGGCAGCTCTGTTGATCTTGGCTGGACTCTCTTCATTTTGAGAGTTGCCAGCTATGTCTGTCTGCTGGACTGGGATAGCAGGAGCAACAGGGAAAACTTGGCTTTTCTGCTCTGTACCTCATCCCCCAGTGGACTAGTTTGGGCATGTCCTCATGGTAAAGGCAGAGGAACAAAAGAGCAAGTAGAAATGTTGTAAGCACCTTTTCAAGCCTCTGTTTTCATCATATTTATCAACATGCAAGACACATGGCTGAACCCAGAGGCAAAGAGAAGGGCAGATTACTCTGCCAAGAATAGGAGGGCACAGCAAAGTATTGGGGAAATGGCTTAGATACAGGAATGGGTAAAGGGTGGAATCATCAGTGTAATCAAACTACCACAGTATCTGTGTGAAAAGGTGCATGACTTGGCAGTAAGAAACACCTTCATATGAAAAGAAAAGGCTCCCCTACCCTGGAGAGGTCAGCCCTACACCAGGAGGCATGGCACAGCAAATGGACCAAAGGCTAGATTTCATCTCCCATTTGCTCTCTTGACAGAATGCCCTGCACAGTACTACTTGCTCTACTATACTTGGCAACCCTGTTTCAGTGGCCTTCTGGTGTATTTCCTCATGTGATAAATATTGTTTCAGATGTTTTTTTCTGCAGAATTTTCTTTGCTGGATGAGACTGCTACTGCCAGACAATGTCTGATTTGGCGTCTGTTCTTGCTAACAGGTGGGAGTTGCCTTCAATAGTGAGAGATCCCGCCAAGAGCTTAATACCATTGCATCCAAGCCGCCTCGTGATCACGTGTTCCGGGTGAATAACTTTGAAGCTCTAAAGACCATTCAGAACCAGCTTCAGGAGAAGATCTTTGCGATTGAGGGTGAGCTAAGGTTCTGTATTCCTGGAGCAGCCCCAGAGGCAGCCCCTCAACCCAAAACAACTATGCCTTTCTAGAAACTAGAATTTCTGCAACTCTGGTTTTACTTGATCAGTTCGTTTGAAGTAGAAGGACCTAGGCTTTTATCTCTAATTTTGCAATTCTTGGCCATAGGCTGAAAAATTGGAGAGTAGGGGAGCCAAAGCCCATGCAGTATTTCCCCCCAAATTTGGATATGTTGCCAACATTTGTCTGTTTGGTTCCTTGCTGTTTCACCAGTGCCTAAAATAGAGCCTGGTATATAAATGGTGCTCAATAAAAGTTTGTTGAATACAAGAATTTAAAATTTGAAGAAGGTTCATATACAATCTGGATTTATGGCTTCTCTTGAAAAGTTGGAAGATTATAAACCTTGAGGACCACATTTTAATTTGGCAAAAAGTGGCTGGAGCCAAAGAGCCACCATCTCTTTAAAAGAGGTATATGCTTTCTAGTTCAAGATAGCTCTCATTTGAGCCTCCTTCTGTCTCGCCCACAACATTTGAATTTCCAGTCCCTGTTCTAGGCTCTTCTGCCTTCTTTAATGTAAAAAGTTCTCCTCTTTCCAGGTACTCAGATAGGAAGTACCAGCTCCTTTGAGTATGAGATGTCTCAGGAAGGCTTCAGTGCTTCCATAACCTCCGTAAGTGGTTGTTTGTTAAATTGTGAGGATGGTAAGAAGGCAGAGAAGAAGCCTAAGGGTTTGGGGGCTTTTCTTTGTGATGGGTATTTTTTTTGGAGGCACCTCTTTGATGGGCAGCAGTGGTCCTTTCTTCCTTTCTAGTCAATCTTGTTCTTTTCTTTTTAAATTGAGATATAATGGACATAAGATATATTAGTTCAGGTGTACAAAATAATGATTTGATATTATCACATATAGTTACAAATTTTTTTATGATGAGAACTTTTAAGATTCTCTTATTAACTTTCAAATATAGAGTACAGTATTATTAACCTAGTCGCCATGCTATACATTATATCTCCAGGATTTATTTATTTTATAACTGAAAATTTATACCTTTTGACCACCTTTACTCATTTTACTCACTCACTACCCCTTTCCTTTGGCAATCACCAATTTGTTCACTGTATCTGTAAGTTTTTTTTCATAGCTTCTCTATATAAGTGAGATCATATCATATTTGTCTTTCTTTGTCTGACTTATTTCACAAAGCCTAATGCCCTCCAGGTACATGCATGTATTCATGTTGTCATAAATGACAGGATTCACTTACTTTTTTATTCTATTTTTTAATTAATTAATTTTTTATGGTGACATTGGATAATGAAATCCAATAAGTTTCAGCTGTATACTTTAACAGTAAGGCATATATATATTTACACTGGGTGTTCACCTCCCATAGTAAGATTTCTTTCTGTCACCACATATTTGACTCCCTTTACCCTGTCTACCTCCGCCTCTCCCCATTCCCTACCCTCTGATAACCACTAGTCTATTGTTCATGTCCATGAGTCTCTGTTTGTTTGTCCTGTTCATTTGTTGCTTTTAGGTTTATATCCCACATATAAGTGATATCATATGAT